CGTGGCAATCATTGCTGGCCTGTTTCTGGTTCTCCTTGGAGCTGTGGTTATTGGAGCTGTAATGTGGAGGAAGAGGAGCTCAGGTAGGGAAGGGGTGAGGGGTGGGATCTGGGTTTTCTTGTCCCTCTGGGGATTTCAAGTTTTAGGTAGACATGTGTCTGACCTCATTACTGGGAGGTACCATCCACGCATAGGTGCTTAAACAGCCTGGGGCCCTGCGTGCCAATACTTACATACTCTTCTGCAAAGCACATGTGGAAATAAAGGACCGATTTTTCACCTTGATCATTGTGGTGTTTAGGACTTGATTCCCAATAGGTCATAGGGAAGATCCCTGCTGAGGACAGACCTCCAAGGGGGGAGTTGGTCCAGTTCTTATACATTTCCTTTCCTCTTGTTTCTTGATGTGGCCCTGGGTCTATAGTCACAGTCTGGGAAACTTCTCTGGAGTCCAAGACTAGGACTTCCTCTAGGACCTCATGGGCCTGCCTCCTCCTTGGCCTCTCACTGGACATTTTCTTCCCACAGGTGGAAAAGGAGGGAGCTACTCTCAGGCTGCAAGTAAGTGTGGTGGCCATGATCCCTCAGGTTCTTGAAACAGTGTAGATAGGAACCCATGGGGGAGCTCACCCACCCCATAATTTCTCCTGTACCACATCTCCTGTGGACTCTGACCAGGTCCTGTTTTGTTCCACCCCAGGTGGTGACAGTGACCAGGGCTCTGATGTGTCTCTCACAGCTTCTAAAGGTGTGACCCTGGGAGGCCTAATGTGGTAGAGGAAGGAGTGGGGAAGAGGGGACACAACTGGGCTGTGGAGATTTGGGGGATATTTTGCGTGTATGTTGGGCTGTTCAGAAGTTCACCACTTACCATGGCTGATCTGAATTTGTTCATGACTATTTTCTTCTATAGCGTGACCCAGCTGCCTTTTGTGGGACTGAGTGAAAGAAGATTTGTTCACACCTCCTCTTTGTGACTTTAAGAACCTCTGACTTCTCTTTCTGCAAAGGACATTTGAATGGGTCTGCATTTCTATTACGATAATGTAAGGATGTGGAGAGATGACCAGCCCACCCCTGTGTCCACACTGACTCCCTTCCCCACCCTGACCTGTTGCCTTCCCTGATCATCTTTCCTGTTCCAGGGAGGTGGGGTGGGGACGTCTCCATTCCTGTCTCTACTTCATGGTGTGCTGAGCTCTATCTTCTTAGTTCCCTATTGAAAATAGGAATCTGAATATAAATTTGTTTCAAATTCTTACCATGAGAGGTTGATGAGCTAATTAAAGGAGATTTCTAAAATTGGAGAGAGGAAATAAATGGCAGACCTGAGAACCTTCCAGAATTCACATGTTTGCTGAACTGAGTCTGTTGCAGGAGGGGAAGGGGAAGACTGTGAGGAACCGAGTGTGAACAGAGCCTGTGTCCAATCAATGTTTAGTTTATTACACTTTTTGATGTGGTCATTCCTCAGCTGGATCATTTTCACTGCTCCACTGTCCTTGTCCCTTCAGTAGAACCTCGTTGCAGCAGGACTCAGACATCAGCCAGGGTGGCTCCTGTACAATGTGTCTCTGTGGTATCAAGAGATGAATTTTCAGACCTGTCCAGTTCTTGCTGTTCTTATAGGGCTCTTGCTTGCATCATATCTTTCTCATCTTTTTTTCAATCCTTTTATTTTGTATTTCTTTTTCATTTTTATGGATACATAATAGTTGTACCTGTTTATGGGGTACATGTGATATTTGATACAAGCATATGATGTGTAGTGATCAAATCTGGGTAATTAGAATATCCATCACCTCAGACATTCATCATTTATTTTTGGTGGGAGCATTCTAAATCTTGTGGTTATTCTGAAATAAGCAATATGTCATTGTTAACTATAGTCACCCTATTGTAGACACTATTATACTATGCTTTATTCCTTCTGTTTGACAGTGTTTGTGTACCCATTAACCAATCTCTCTTTATTCCTCCTCCCCCTCCCAACTATCCTTCCCAGCCTCTGGCAATCACCATCTATTCACTATCTTTGTAAGATCAAGTTTTGTAGTTCACAGTTAAGAGAGGGAACATGTAATATTTGTCTTTCTGTGCCTGGATGATTTCATTTAACATAATGTCCTCCAGTTCCATCCGTGTTGCTGTGCCCAACCTTTTTAGAGGAACCAACTTCTGTAATTAGCAGACAGTGGGATTCCATAGTTACCATCTTAGGTAAATCTCTGTTGGTATTTCTCTTCTAGTCTGTTCTCCTATCCCCTCTTCCTGCCCTTAGTTCTAGAAAACTCAGTGTTGGCTCTATTCCAAACTCATGGTTTTATGAAGCAAAGTCTCATTTAGATTTTTATTTGTTTGGAATATTGGACCTGTAGTTAAGGATTGTTGTTTCCTGAGAAAGAAATATAATTGTGAGTTGCCGTGTGAGGGGAGTTGGTGTGGCGGAATGTATGGAGGGAGGAGACACACAACAGCACTGGTGAAAAAAAGCACAGGTGACATTGATGTCCATGTAAGAGGACATTGTGCTGTAGGTTCCACAAAACAGAACTTGGTCTGAGGCTGTGTTAACAAAGATAATGTGTCTGTGTTAACAAAGATACTGTGTTGGATCATTCTTCCAACATATATCTGTTGTCGCCAGATATATGACAAACTTTTCGTATCTGAGAAACATCATTAAAGTAACAACAGAAAAATTGTTGGTTTTGAGCATATGTTCTAGAGGGAAGAGACAGATGATAGATATACTCTAAGCAGATTAAAGAAGGAAAGTGTTTGTGTTGGAAGGTGGTAAGTTCTGTGGGCAGGTGACACAGAGAGTCAGTATGTGGGGACACGGAAGATGCTGTTGTTTCCAGTGGTCAGAATGGGCCTTGTGGCAAAGGACAGACCTTTGAGGAATAATTTGTAGGACATGAGTAATTACACATGAGGATGTCTGTGGATGTTCTTTCCGGGTAGAGGGACCCTCCAGTGCACATGCACCAGGGCAGGAACAGTGAGGAGGCTTGAAGGGCTGGACAGAGAGTAGCTAAAGTGGAGGAGATGTCTACTAGAAATGCAAGGGAGGGAACGGGGTGGCAGGTGAACAGCAAGTCCGGAATTTCTGAGAAATGACTGGGACCATTTAAATAATATTTAAAGCCTCGAGCATGGATGAGGGCACCAATGGAGTGACTGGCTACAGAAGAAAAAGGGAATAAGGACTGAACCCCGGACTTCCAGTGCTAAGGGATCTGATCAGGCCACATGCCGAGCAGCCTGCCTAGTTCTAACACCCTGTCTAGAAGGCACATGTACCAGGGTGTCCCAGACTTTCCTGTGTGCAGGAGTCACCTGAACATGGTGCTGAGATACAGGAATTCTGGAGTGGAGCATGGGGTTCTATATTATGGCCATGTTGGAGCTCATGCTGTTGGTCTCCAAGCCATACTTCTAGTAGCAAGAACACAGGCCAGGATCCTACATGTCTGTGCATCAGCCTCACCTGTAGGGCTTGTTGAATAAGCATTTCTTGGTCTTGTGTGTTATAAGCCAAGACAAGAGTTCTTGGGAGAATTCTGAGCATTTTTTCAGCCTCAGCAATGCTATTTGTCAATTTGATTGGGAACCACTGAGGTCAATGGTGAAAGAATGCCCAGGGTGGGTTTTCTAACCCTGTTTAAAAGAGTTTTTCTTCAGTGAAATAGAGAGGGCATATCTCATCAATTATGATGTCATGCTGAGAATCCACATCATTCTCCCATAAGATAGAGCCAGGTGGAAGATTCAGCAAGTGGCTCCAGCTCTGCACAAAGAATGTCTTTGAATGCTGGGACCCAAAACTGTTCCCTGGACTGATTTCTTACCTACTTCTTGAAGCAAACTGTGGAAGCCAGAATTTTCTAATTTACACATAATACTGTGTATATGGTACTGAGTGCTAATTATATTGTGAGGAAGACCACAAAACCCACACTTGAGATTACATAGCAGGGAACAGAATCCACAGTCCACCCTAGGTTGAGTCTCTGGTGGGAACCACTACCTCCTCTGCTGGGCACAGATGCCACTGCTCATATCTCTGAAGCCCTGGACACTGGACCCTGGGCTAGGACTGCTTTCCCTGCTGCTCTTGGAAAGTGAATGTCACTCCTTCCCCTCAACCATCTTTACCAAAATGCATCTGCACAGTCACAGCATCTGTGCTACCTTATTTGGTCACAGTCCAGCAGGTAGTCATCTAGTTGGTGGAGCCTAAGCCTCATATCCATCTACAATTGCATGGGTGATGACAGGGTTGTCTTCAACAATGGAAAGAGATGGTTTCTGTCTCTTAATGAGACTTTAAGTGTGGAATTCTGACATAATAAGTGGGTTCAGGTGCCTTAGGGTGAGGGGTGAAAAAGAATGACATTCTAATTTTTGGAGCAGTAACCTAAGATGAGAACTTTATCTCATACTTGGTAGGCACCTGGTTTAGGTGGAAGATCAAGTGACTAATAAATGACATCTTTCTACCCATTCCCTTGAGAGTGTGTTATTTAATCCAGCTTTTGTCTATGTCTGTTAATCATTGAGGTGGCATTGTGAGATGGTGAAACGATTACTCAAAACATCTTGTCCTTGACTTTGCCTCTTTTAGAATTAATGCCCTGGTTTATAAGATCCCAGAGGATCTGTGTGGGTACTGATGTTTTGTATTAATGTTTATATTTCCTTGTGCATGGAAATAATTCTGGGGAGAATTATTTATCAACATTTATTATTATCTAACATTTTTCAATTTTTATATGACCTCCTAAAAAAGCTTTAAAAATCTAGTTCTTTTGTCTACATGTTTGCCAGCCAAATAATAGATCATGAACAGCTGTTAGCAAACTAATTTTTTTTTTGTTTACAGAGACCTGATATAAATGCTTACATTTTGTTTATCCTTTGCTTTGGGACAGGGGAAGGTAGAACTTTACTTACTTTTCTCTGATTTCTCTTTGTGGAATGGTGTTTTGGGAAAAACTCTCTCAAACTATATTTTTCCTCTGCTCTCACACCACCACCACAACAATGAACACAGAAAAAGACTTCTGTGACCAAATGTGTAGGTTCCTCCCCCATACAAGCATCAGATAGCAGCTTTCAATCCAATTCCAATACTATCTGCATGGAGATCGTGTCATCTCCCATAGGTTGAGGGCTTAGTCCCACAAGGCTGTCCCCCTGACCAGACACCAGTCACAAGTCCAGACCTCTAGAATTTCTGACAAGCTAGCTTCAAGTTGGGGCTCTCACAACCCCTTTTAGTTAGGTTCATTTGATGGGGCAACTTACAGAGCTCAGGGAAACACATCTAACAGTTTGTTATAAAATATATTGCAGAGGATACAGCTGAAGAGATGCTTAGGGCCAGGTATAGGGGAAGGGGCATGGAGCTTCCATGCCCTCCCTGGGTGCTACCCTATGGGAACCTCCCCATGTTCACCTATTCAGAAGCTCTCCAAATCCTATCCTCTTGAGTTTTTATGGAAGCCCGCGTCAAGATGGTAGAAAGTTTGTCCTTTGCCAAAATAATTTTCTAATTCTCTGACAGCAATGGAGAATCCTACAATTCAATTTCATTCTGGCACAAACTACATGGAGTTAGCCCCAGACTCCACAGGGCCAAGGCCTCAGTCCCACAAGACTGTCCTCATTTCTGATGCAAGTCACAAATATCAGGTCCTTAGGTTATGCACACTTCAGTCTCACTTAGTTACAAAGTCAGGGGTTCCTGGCCTCCCCAGGCCTGATAATTAGTTAAACCAACTCACAGAAGTCAGGAAAGTGCTGAACTCTACTGCAGTTTATTACTATCTCAGTCCATTTTGTGCTGCTATGACAGAATACCTGAGGCTGGGTAAGTTAGAATAAACAGAAACTCCCTTGCTTTCTTGTTGTCCCGGCTGGGAAGACCAAGATCGAGGGGCTATGCATGGCAAGGGCCTTCTTTCTGCATCATCCATGGCGGAAAGCAGAAGGGCAACAGAAGGCAAGAATGAGAGAGAACAAGAGGTTGAACACGCAACCTCAGGCCTTTTTGTGATTGGCATTTATGAGGCCAGAGCCTGGATGGCCCAATTGTCTCTCAGAAGTCCCACTTCTTAGCACTGTTGACTCGTGAATTCATTTTCCAACAGATGCTCTTTTCAGGGAAACATTTAAGCCTTATAAAAGAAAAAAAGAGCAGCCAGATAGAGAGGTATACTGGGTGAGATCTGGGAGGGTCCTGAGCACAGAAGCCTCTGTCCCATGGAGCTGGGGTACACCATTCTCCCAGCAAGGAGATGTATTCACCATTTGGGAAGCTTTCCAACCCCCGTTGTCTAGAGGATTTTATGGAAGTTTTATTGTGTAGGCAAGATTGCTTAACTTGCTGGCCATCAGTGATTCAACGCAACCTTCTCTTACAAAAGATTAGGATGAAGCTGAAAATTACAACACCCTAGATACAGCCTGGTGTTTCTGGCAGCCAGTCCCCATCCTGAAGTCATCTAGGAGCCCCTCAGTCAAGAGTCATCCCATTAGCCTGCTAAAGATGTGCTTGTCACTGAAGAGCTTGCGAAGGTTTTAAGACTTGCCTGCTAGGAAACAGGGAGGAAGAACAAATATTTTTACTGTACCACAAAACCCCGCCTTGTCTTTGATTCCATATCTCTTTAAATTTTATTTATTTACCTGTTTATATTTTTAGAGACAGTGTCTTGCTCTATTCCCCGGCTGCAATGCAGTGGCAGGATCATAGCTCACTGTACCCTCAAACTCCTGAGCTCAAGGAATCCTCCTGCTCCAGTCTTCTGCCACTACTTCTGACTAATTTTTCAACTTTTTAGTGAGTTGGGGTCTCACTATGTTTCCCAGACTGGTCTTGAACTCCTGGTCTTAAGTGATCCTTCTGCTTTGGCCTCTCAAAGCACTAGATTACAGACATGAGCCACTTTGCCTGACTGACCACAGATACTGGCACATTACAAGAGTCTTATTTAGTTTAATAATTAGTCCAGTCCAACAACAGGGATGGTCTCAGCGACATATATCTTTACCCTTTTAGGTACCTGGGGTAATTGAGCTAAGAGGCAATATCATCACTTACACTTCTTTTGAGGAGTTCATGTAATATTGGTTTTCCTCATTACATAACACATTTATTCCTTCATGTTCCCGCATCTACTCTTCATCCTTCTCTCTTTCTATAAAAAAAATTTTCAGTCTGGAAGAGACAGGAGGTTTGGCTGCTGTGCTGGCCTAGTCTACAGGCAGAGTACTATTCTAGTGAGTATCTGCCTTCAGGCCACTCCTGATCGTAGAGGGCAGGGGTATGAAGGTACAGAACAAGTGGGTTATCTGTTCACCAGGCAGTATAGCTGTGCTCACTGTTAACCCTGATTTTTCCAGATGAAGTGAAAGTACAACCCACTCTTACAGGTCTTTAGGAATTATTTCTCAATGATTTAAAAGTATATATACAGTCCACTCCTGATCATAGAGGGCGGCGGTATGAAGGTACAGAACAAGTGGCTTATCTGTTCACCAGGCTGTGTAGCTGCGCTCATACCATACCTCCTGTTTCTGAAACTTTTTGTTATATCTCCAGTCCTGGGACCACTGCATCAGGTAGGAAAAAAGAAAGTTGAGTTGAAGACAGTCATCATTCCAGCATCTTCCCTCCCTAGGAAAAACTGCT